AATATTCCAGCCTAGATAGAACAAGTGACCTGAAGAGTGTCATCATGGGCTTGGCCTCCCTAGTTTTGAAGGTTCTCATTATCCATCCTGTCATTTTTCTAGCAGATGCGATTGATACAATGTTATGGTTCCTTGAAGGTGAGATCCTCCGACATGATCACTCCCAGGTCTTTGACGTTGGTGTTTCGCTCTATTTTGTGGCCAGAATTTGTTTTGTACTCTGATGAAGATTTAATTTCCTCATGTTTACCATATCTGAGTAATTGAAATTTCTCATCGTTGAACTTCATATTGTTTTCTGCAGCCCACTGAAAGATTTGGTTGATGTCGCGCCTGGAGCCTTGCAGTGTCTGCAATGGAAGACACTGTCATGCAGTTCGGGTGTCATCTGCAAAGGAAGACACGGTGCTGTGGCTGACATCCTTGTCTATGTCGGATATGAGGATGAGGAACAAGATGGGAGCGAGTACTGTGCCTTGTGGAACAGAGCTTTTCACAGTAGCTGCCTCGGACTTTACTCTGTTGACGACTACTCTCTGTGTTCTGTTAGTGAGGAAATTATAGATCCATCTACCGACTTTTCCCTGTTATTCCTTTAGCACGCTTTTTGTGCGCTATTACGCCATGGTCACACTTGTCGAAGGCTTTTGCAAAGTCTGTATATATTACATCTGCATTTTTTTTGTCTTCTAGTGCATTTAGGACCTTGTCATAGTGATCCAATAGTTGAGACAGACAGGAGCGACCTGTTCTAAAACCCATGTTGCCCTGGGTTGTGTAACTGATGGGTTTCTAGATGGGTGGTGATCTTGCTTCTTAGGACCCTTTCAAAGATTTTTATGATATGGGATGTTAGTGCTATCGGTCTGTAGTTCTTTGCTGTTGCTTTACTGCCCCCTTTGTGGAGTGGGGCTATGTCTGTTGTTTTTAGTAACTGTGGGACGACCCCCGTGTCCATGCTCCCTCTCCATAGGATGGAAAAGGCTCGTGATAGGGGCTTCTTGCAGTTCTTGATGAACACAGAGTTCCATGAGTCTGGCCCTGGGGCAGAGTGCATGGCATGTCATTTATCGCCTGTTCGAAGTCATTTGGCGTCAGGATAACATCGGATATGCTTGTGTTAATCAAATTTTGTGGCTCTCTCATAAAAAATTCATTTTGATCTTCGACTCTCAGTCTGGTTAGCGGCTTGCTAAAAATTGAGTCATATTGGGACTTGAGTAGCTCACTCATTTCCTGCTGTCATCTGTGTAGGACCCATCTTGTTTAAGTAGGGGCCCAGTATGGACGTTGTTCTCGATTTTGATTTGGCATAGGAGAAGAAATACTTTGGGTTTCTTTCGATTTCATTTATGGCTTTTAGTTCTTCCCGCGATTCCTGACTCCTAAAGAATTCTTTTAGCTTAAGTTCGATGCTTGCTATTTCTCTGACCAGTGTCTCCCTACGCATTTCAGATATATTGACCTCTTTTAGCCGCTCTGTTATTCTTTCCGTCGCCTGTAAAGGGAGCGCCTGTCTCTTTCTATTTTACATCTACTCCTCCTTTTTCTTAGAGGAATAAGACTTGTGCATACATCGAGTGCCACCTAGTTAATCTGTTCTAGGCATAAGTTGGGGTCTGTGTTGCTTAGTATATCTTCCAGCTTATATCGGTTAGGACTTGGTTTTACTTGGTCCCACTTTTGTTTTGTTATTGAAGTTGAATTTGGTGAATGCTCTCTCGTGACTAGTCTCATTATGTCGGTCTGGGGCTCCACGCATACATGTCTGAACCTCAATTATGTTGTGATCTGAGTATATTGGTTTTGATATGGTGACATTTCTTATCAGGTCATCATTGTTAGTGAAGATGAGGTCTAGTGTATTCTCCAGTCTAGTAGGCTCTATTATTTGCTGGTTAAATTGAATTTTGTGCAGAGATTAAAAGCTAGTGTGAGTGTGAGTTTTCATCAGAGCTGCCTCCTGGTGTTATTACTGCAACAATATTATTTGCTATATTCCTCCATTTTAGGTGCCTTACGTTGAAATCCCCCAGGAGCAAGATGTTGGGTGCAGGAGCTGGAAGATTTTCCAGACAGTGGTCAATTTTTAACAGCTGTTCCTGGAATTGCTGGGATGTTGCAACCGGGAGGCTTGTAGACTACCCCAATGACTAGGTTTTTTGGGTTCTCGACCTTTACTGCTAAAACTTCCACTACATCATTTAAGGCATTAATAAGCAGTTCTCTGCAAACAAGTGACTCTGCAATGTACAGGCCAACCCCCCCCCCTTTTGCCTGTTCACTCTGTCACATCTGTATAGGTTGTAACCTGGGATCCATATTTCGTTGTCCAAGTGATCCTTTATGTGGGTCTCAGTGAAAGCCGCGAACATTGTCTTTGCCTCTGCAAGCAGTCCACGGATGAAAGGTATTTTGTTGTTTGTTGCTGGCTTTAGACCCTGTATATTTGCAAAGAAGAATGTTATCGGACTGGTGGTATTGTTGGTACTGGGGGGGGGGGATTTTTTTTTTCCGGCATTAGTATCTGTATCTGTTGGTTTGGAGTGGAGGCCATCGACTGTGTTTCCACTCCAGGAATGACTGGATTTGGTGTACGATTTCTGCCATTTCCTGCCAGTTTTTTTTCCTTCCTGGCACTAAAAGACCTCTCCCTCTTGAGTGGCTGTGGCTACCCAGCTTTTCCCATGGCCTGGATGTTTTGTATCTTTTTGTCCATTTTAGATGGTATGCCTGGCAATTTAAGTTATAGCACAGTCTTTCCTGTACTGAAGAGGTACACAGTTCAGGGTGAAAAAGCTTACAGGAAGGGAGTTTGCATTTTCCTGTTGTCATATGGGCATGGCATTTTCTAGGGTGGTCATAGTTGCACGTCCCATCTGTTTTTCCAGATTTCCCATGCCAGCAGATACCAAGTGCATAGTATGTGCACAGGCTTGGTTTCCGTTTGCCTTGGGTTTCTGTGACTGTATTCCCTGTTGGTGCATGTTTCCCTGTCTTACTTCTATCCTCCCTAGCACCAACAATGGAGCTCCCACCAGTTGTTTTTGGTAATATATCCTCACTATTGCTAGTGGAGTCCTCTTGTTTGCTATTTCCTGCGGTATTTCTAGTTTGCAATATTTGGGTTTTTTCTTATCTTTGACTACACTTGTTTCCCTACTATGGCTCCTGTCCCCTATGAGGTCATTTATATGTATTCCTTCCTGCGTATAATTCCCGACTACCTGGACAAAATCTCCAGCTTCACCATTACTGTCTCCCCGGACAGCATCTCCAGCTTCACCATTACTGTCTCCCAGGACAGCATCTCCAGCTTCACCATTACTGTCTCCCAGGACAGCACCTCCAGCTTCACCATTACTGTCTCCCAGGACAGCACCTCCAGCTTCACCATTACTGTCTCCCAGGACAGCACCTCCAGCTTCACCATTACTGTCTCCCAGGACAGCATCTCCAGCTTCACCATTACTGTCTCCCAGGACAGCACCTCCAGCTTCACCATTACTGTCTCCAGGACAGCACCTCCAGCTTCACATTACTGTCTCCAGGACAGCACCTCCAGCTTCACCATTACTGTCTCCAGGACAGCACCTCCAGCTTTACCATTACTGTCTCCCAGGACAGCACCTCCAGCTTCACCATTACTGTCTCCAGGACAGCATCTCCAGCTTCACCATTACTGTCTCCAGGACAGCACCTCAGCTTCACCATTACTGTCTCCCAGGACAGCACCTCCAGCTTCACCATTACTGTCTCCCAGGACAGCACCTCCAGCTTCACCATTACTGTCTCCCAGGACAGCACCTCCAGCTTCACCATTACTTAACCTAAAATAACAAAATTAAATCAATATAATGAAAAAAGCTATGTCATAGCAGCTTTGTTCCGAGGAAGATGCTGGCTGTCTGGATGCTGGAGATTTCTTTAAGATAAGAACTTTGTGTTAGCTGACTGGTGTGGGTCGCATCCTGGGTGTTAGTTGACTGGTGTGGGTTGCATCCTGGGTGTTAGTTGATTGGTGTGGTTCGCATCATGGGTGTTAGTGGACTGGTGTGGGTCACATCCTGGGTGTTAGTTGACTGGTGTGGGTCACATCCTGGGTGTTAGTTGACTGGTGTGGGTCACATCCTGGGACAAAGTTGACATAATTTGCGGGAAATGCTCAGCATAACAAGGTACTTTCTATATAGTAGTATGTCACTGATGTCAGCTATGGTCTGTATACCTTGTACATGTACTTGTATACCTTGTACTTGTACTTGTTGAAATAAAGATTATTATTATTATTCCTTATGTGTACCTGTTCCTAAATAAACCTATACTAGGCTATCCTAGGTTATTTATACTATGTATGATAATTGTACTGGTGTGTACCTGTGCTCAAATAAACTTACTGACGTTTTTGGGGGTTATCCAGGGTAATTTACATTATGTATGACCATTATACTGTGCCTAAATAAACTTTTTGACTTTTTTTTGGGCCTATCCAGGGTAATTTAAACTATGTATGACCATTGTAATGTGCCTAAATAAACTTTCAGATTTTTTTGGGACTAATTGGGGTATTTAACTATGTATGACCATTATAATGTGCCTAAATAAACTTTCAGATTTTTTTTGGGCCTATCCAGGGTAATTTAAACTATGTATGACCATTATAATGTGCCTAAATAAACTTTCAGATTTTTTGGGGGGCCTATCCAGGGTAATTTAAACTATGTATGACCATTATAATGGCTAAAAAATTTTTCAATTTTTTTGGGGCCTATCCAGGGTAATTTCAACTATGCATGACCCTTATACTGTACCTAAATAAGCTTTCAGATTTTTGGGGGGCCTGTCCAGGGTAATTTAAACTATGTATGACCATAATAATGTGCTTACTTAGCTAATCAAGAGATGGCAGTGCAACGTTTAGTTTGGATTTTGCTCACTAGATGGCAGTGAGGAGTTTGTCAGGCAGTACATGTCAAGGAGGAACATCCAGGGTGAAGGTGAGAGAGTTGGAAGCAGCTTACAGTTGAGTGGCAGCCACCGGATGGGAGAGCAGCAGCTGCCCACCAGTCCTGCCATGACCACTGTGTTGTTGTAACCTTGTCTGCCACCATCAGTGTGACTACCATGGCGCACTCCACCATGAATGGTCATCACAGTCCCAGTAAGCGGGTCTATAAGGTGGTCCTTACAGGAGGTGAGTATAATATCACCCCCCCCAGGGGATGATGTTTTTTTTTTTAAGGGGGTTCCACTGGAAAAGGTTTATTTTCAAGGTTTTTTTTATCAGTGGTTTCACTTTTTTTTGGGTTGTGTTGGTGGGTAATTTATAATGTATATTGTAGTTATGTGTAAATGTGGTTAAATACATTTATTTACATCAGTCAGCTGAAAAAATACATTATGGAGGGAAAAAAAGCTTGATTTTGTAAGCTTGATTTTATCAGTTATGGCTGTGTAAAGCTTAAAGCTTAACCGTCTAAAATAAAGCTTCATATGCATCAGTTAGACCTGAAGTGGCTCGTCAGTTCCTCTGTTTTATAATGTATAACTTAGGTCTTTGAGGACAACTGTGTTGTAGACATTGTAGACAGCAGTGTTGTAGACAGCATTGTAGACAGCAGTGTTGTAGACAACATTGTAGACAGCAGTGTTGTAGACAACATTGTAGACAGCAGTGTTGTAGACAACATTGTAGACAGCAGTGTTGTAGACAACATTGTAGACAGCAGTGTTGTAACAACATTGTAGACAACAGGTTGTAGACAACATTGTAGACAGCAGGTTGTAGCATTGTAGACAGCATGTTGTAGACATTGTAGACAGCAGTGTTGTAGACATTGTAGACAGCAGTGTTGTAGACATTGTAGACAGCAGTGTTGTAGACAACATTGTAGACAGCAGTGTTGTAGACAACATTGTAGACAGCAGTGTTGTAGACAACATTGTAGACAGCAGTGTTGTAGACATTGTAGACAGCAGTGTTGTAGACAACATTGTAGACAACATTGTAGACAGCAGTGTTGTAGACAACATTGTAGACAACATTGTAGACAGCAGTGTTGTAGACAACATTGTAGACAGCAGTGTTGTAGACATTGTAACAGCAGTGTTTGTAGACATTGTAGACAGCAGTGTTGTAGACATTGTAGACAGCAGTGTTGTAGACATTGTAGACAGCAGTGTTGTAGACATTGTAGACAGCAGTGTTGTAAGACATTGTAGACAGCAGTGTTGTAGACATTGTAGACAGCAGTGTTGTAGACATTGTAGACAGCAGTGTTGTAGACATTTTAGACAGCATGTGTAGACATTGTAGACAGCAGTGTTGTAGACATTGTAGACAGCAGTGTTGTAGACATTGTAGACAGCAGTGTTGTAGACATTGTAGACAGCAGTGTTGTAGACATTGTAGACAGCAGTGTTGTAGACATTGTAGACAGCAGTGTGTAGACATTGTAGACAGCAGTGTTGTAGACATTGTAGACAGCAGTGTTGTAGACATTGTAGACAGCAGTGTTGTAGACATTGTAGACAGCAGTGTTGTAGACATTGTAGACAGCAGTGTTGTAGACATTGTAGACAGCAGTGTTGTAGACATTGTAGACAGCAGTGTTGTAGACATTGTAGACAGCAGTGTTGTAGACAACATTGTAGACAGCAGTGTTGTAGACAACATTGTAGACAGCAGTGTTGTAGACAACATTGTAGACAGCAGTGTTGTAGACAACATTGTAGACAGCAGTGTTGTAGACAACATTGTAGACAGCAGTGTTGTAGACAACATTGTAGACAGCAGTGTTGTAGACAACATTGTAGACAGCAGTGTTGTAGACATTGTAGACAGCAGTGTTGTAGACATTGTAGACAGCAGTGTTGTAGACAACATTGTAGACCATTGTTGTAGACAACAGTGTTGTAGACAGTGTTGTAGAGGTGTGAGCTTCGTTCAGATCTCTACAACACTGTTATACCATGAATTAAGTCAAGATCCTGGACATAACATTACAAAAGCAGACACGGCAAATGTAATAATAATTATGAACAAGGTAGATTATAGTGGAAAAATAAACGTGAATTATCAGTGTTATAGCTTGAGAGGCATTAACTTGGGCAAATACGATTGTGTTAGTGGGATGGTGTGTGATGGACCTGCCTAGTATGGGCCAATATACCTGCTGAAGTGTTCCTGCTTATGTTCTTATAACAGGAGTCGGGGAAGCTCTCCAGCCTCTTGAAGCTGCCCAGATCCAGCCCAAAAAATGGGGGATAAACCTTTATTAAAGACCACCTTGGTACAGTGTTATGCCCCACCTTGGTACAGTTATGCATCACCTTGGTACAGTTATGCATCACCTTGGTACAGTTATGCACCACCTTGGTACAGTTATGCACCACCTTGGTACAGTTATGCACCACCTTGGTACAGTGTTATGCACCACCTTGGTACAGTTATGCACCACCTTGGTACAGTGTTATGCACCACCTTGGTACAGTTATGCACCACCTTGGTACATTGTTATGCACCACCTTGGTACAGTGTTATGCACCACCTTGGTACAGTGTTATGCACCACCTTGGTACAGTGTTATGCACCACCTTGGTACATTGTTATGCACCACCTTGGTACAGTTATGCACCACCTTGGTACATTGTTATGCACCACCTTGGTACATTGTTATGCACCACCTTGGTAC